CTTAAGAAATGAACAATACATGAACAACCGAGTGTTAACTGCAACGTTCGTCATTGTTGATATGAACATGAAATTCGTTATATAATTTCTTTCCAATTTCAAGTGAAATCTGCGAGCGAGGAAGACGCCTTATTGAAGCTTTGTGTTATGGTATGTACTGTTTTGAAGAAAAATATGCAAGTAGGTTGTTATATTTCGGTCATACTTAAAGACAATTAATTTTGAAAATTGTTTACGATAAGAACCTTTCTTGAATTTGTCGTATTTTTTTTGCTGTTTTGCTCAAAAATTATCTCGCAACTCGCAAGTTTGTTTATAAAACTTTATATTCATATACAAAAATTATTTCGCAAGTTTGTTTATAAAACTTTATATTCATATATAAAAATTATCTCGCAAGTTTTGTTTATAAAACTTTATATTCATATATAAAAATTATCTCGCAAGTTTTGTTTATAAAACTTTATATTCATATATATAAAAATTATCTCGCAAGTTTGTTTATAAAACTTTATATTTCAAACTTCTATTTCACGAAACACTACAACCGAAATATGGCAACCTGTTTGGCCGTTTTTTGTTCAAAATAGTGGATACACAAGCTTCATAAGGCGCTTTCCTCGGTTTGCAACAGGTCTGTCGCAAGTTGTTGAAAACAGCATTGCTGCAGCTCTGTGTCAACAACTTGCGACAGGTCTGTTGAAAACAGCATTGCTGCAGCTCTGTCACAACAGCTTGTAACAGACCTGTTGAAAACAGCATTGCAGCAGCTCTGTCACAACAGCTTGTAACAGACCTGTTGACAGGCCGTTGCAGGTCTGTCAGAACAGACAGGTAGGCGAGCGAACGCATCCAGATATCGGCTTGTTGACAACAGGATTTAACAGATCTGTTGCAGATCTGTTCCGACTTGCGCGTTTCTGGCTGTGTAGTCGTTTCCCTTAAAGGCCGTTTTCCACTAGGCGAATTTGTTCGCGCGACGCGAAGCGAAAACCGAAATCCGGCAACGTGATTGGTCGGCGAAAAAATTCGCGGCGAAAAAGTAGGATCGCTTCCTACTTTTTATCTGTTCGCGCGAAAAAATTCGCCTAGTGGAAAACGGCCTTTATTGTTTGACGTCCACGAAAATTTTTAACTCGCTCACGTCAGGCCACGCCATCCTGGCTAGTACAGCCGGAAGTTTTTATCAGGATTTGGTAGGTACAAAGTGCCGGTTGTACTAGCCAGGATGGCGTGATTGATGACGAATCGCTTGTAAAAACGCGGACAAATATTTGCTTGAGTTACGCTTCTGGTATAACTTCCTATTCTGTGACTAGGCTTAAGAGGACGTGAAAATGACGTATGCATCTCGCGTTCACTTCCGGGTTTTAATCTGGGACGGCTTGTTTGTCTTTTTCGAAGCAAATTTTTGTTTTCTTGTTACCTGTTCATTCCTGTATTGTTTTCAATCAGTTGTCAAGATGTGTGCAAGAAAA